TTCTGTTAAATATCCCTATAAAATCCTACACTTCTTCAGAACACAGCACAGTAAGATTCTTGGTAAGTATGTATAAAATGAGTTAACTAGGTTGGGAATTATTTCAGAACTCATAATTTAGTCATCTGAATGTACATCAGCTATTCATATCTATACATAAGGGGGACAGATAAAACAGGCCTGAGTCATTTGGGTTTACCTTACTCACTTCTTTAAAAAACAAATTTTGATTGAACAACTAGGCATTGTTCTAAGTAGTGGGTGTTCTGGCTCCTGCCTTCATGGAGCTTTCAGGTTAGCCAAAACATAATGAATAGAAAGGAAAGGAGAAAAACATGGAAATAAAAACAGTATATTTGGACAGGAAGAAGTAAAGGTAGAGAATCCAAGTAAACCAGGACCTTGCGGCATGGTAAGGTAAAGAGAGGGAGAAAGAAGGATTTCATTTGGGATTCTTGTACTGCAAGTCATTTGGAATTCTTGTACTGCAAGAGATATCAAGACTGCTTACGCTACCTCCTTCCCCTTTTTGAGACACACAGAAAGTAAAGCCCAGAGAAATTAAAATTCACATAAGATCAATCATTTATTGAATGCTTCTACATGACAGTACCTTACATATATTACCTCATTTATGTTAGGTAATACTACCTAGAAAGGTGGTGGTGGTAGTAGTAATATGATGATTTTTATAGACAGAGAAACTGAGGTACAAGAGAGGTTAAGTACTTTGCCCAGGCTATGCATCTGGCAAGTGAAAGAATCTGGATTCTGATTAAGGACTTGTGATTCCAAAACCTGCTCCAAACATGCTAACTCAATTTTGAAGTTATTTGCATTAACCCTGGTGGTGTGTTCTACAGTAAATAATTGAGCCTGTTTCAGAGTAAATATATGCTCAAAGCTTACATACTGCCTCCTGTGTACGTCTCCACTTCTGGATTTTAAGGGAAAGTACTGGCAAGATCCAGTCCTCCTTATACTCCTTTCCATGTTGCCCAGACCCCCCTTGCTGCCTTCCCTATACTCAAGCCCCGTTTGGGATGCAAGTGGGCAGTGTGGAAAAACTGAACATCAAGAAAAGTTACTGTCCACTTCCCAGCCAACCATTCCTTCCTGTCCTCCCTCCTCCCCTACCAATCCACTTCCCAAGTGGAGCTGGCATGTGAGATGAGACAGATCTGTTGTCTTGCCAGCGACTCTGGCCCCATGTCGCTGGCAGCTCCATGAAATCAGAGCTGCGATGCCTTTCAGGGGTGCCTCAGTTTAAATGCCAAGGCATTCGTTTTGCAAATCTAAGCCTTGCATCTCTCAGGGAATTTTCCTCTTTTCTTAATGTCATAAAGACATTTAAGTGTACTGGCATTCTCCCTGCTTCTCCCAAAGAACAGACCTCATTCTATTAGAGTTTTAATAGTTTTTCCTTCTGTTTTAGTGCTGTATTTACCTTTTAAAATTTATGTGCACACTTTGTGTCAGTGTTATATATTTGATGTGTTTTTATTTCATAGACTCTCTGAAATCATAGTGTTTGGGGTGAGTTCTTGCTTATTGGCCCAGGTTTTATTAACAAGGATCAAGAACTTTTAGTATTTTTGTCTTAGAAAAGAGCTAGAAGTAACAAACTCTGGAGTTCCCCATGCTTACATTTTCCAAAGTCTGTAAAATGGTGATGCTTCCCTGGTCTGGGTATGTATATAGGAGGGCGTGGGGAAGGGCTGTGAACCATTACCGCCTGGTGTTCTGGACTCAGACTGCTTGAGTTGTATCTCAGTTCCATCACTTACAGGTTATATAGCCTTGAACATCATTTGCTATTTCTAGTTCTACAGTTTCCTCATCTGTAAAAAGAGAACAATAACCATATTTATCTTGGGGGTTGCTGTGAATATCTAATGAGCTAATACATGTAAAGCACAGTGCTTTGCACTTAGTAAGTACTCAGTAAATCCTGACTTTTAATATCACACATTAAATTATTTTATGGCCTGGTGTGGTGGCTCACGCCTATAATCCCAGCACTTTGGGAGGCAGAGGTTGGCGGATCACCTGAGGTCGGGAGTTCAAGACCAGCCTGACCAACGTGGAGAAACCTTGTCTCTACTAAAAATACAAAATTAGCAAGGTGTGGTGGCACATGCCTGTAATCCCAGCTACTTGGGAGGCTGAGGCAGGAGAATTGCTTGAATTCAGGAGGCGGAAATTGTCTTGAGCCGAGATCACACCATTGCACTCCAGCCTGGGCAACGAGCAAAACTCCGTCTCAAAAAAAAACCATATATGTATATACTTTTTAAAAAGAATCTTTTTGTTTCTTTGTTTCTTTTCCACTGAAATGGTGTTTTTCAAGCAGGCATTAGTGAGTATTGTGTCAAGAGGGGTAGATGAGTGGGTTGGGGATGGTGACAGCACATAGACCGTTAACCATCCCTGGAGATTAATTATGACTTAAATATAGGGCTACTTTCTGACTTCAGTTTCCATAAAGGTCAGGAAGAGATGGAGAATAAAATTTGGAGTAGAAGACTCAAAAAGATTTCTAGAAATATGATGAGTTCTAAGGTACAAATACTAAAATTCAGGCACCTTCCTAAGATGACTTCCTTCCTAAGCTTAATGTCAAAGTATGATGTCATGGACAGAGTCAACATTGAAAAATGTCCTTTCCTATTGTGTCTCTTGGTTGTGAAATCTAATTATAGCATGTTGTGGACATTTGGGCTTTAATATCCTGATTACATTAGGACCCGAGGAATCTCATTCAGCTTCTTGGAGTTCCCATCCCATGTGTATTCCACGTGTTTGTGTACACTTCTCATCCCACACTGTTACATCTGGCAGACAGCCGTTGTCACAAAGGTGGTGATGGGTGTCCCTCAGTGATACGGATGAGATTGATAGGGGACCTTGGGAATCCCTGAGTATAAAAGACTAGGGAGGTAAATGGCAGCCATAATAGCAGACAGGACATTTCATACTCAGCCTTCAGGCAAAGATGGAGTTCAGTCCTGGGCTTTTTGCCTGATAACATATGAATATGAATGTAACTAATGCCAGTTAATTACACACTTAACAATGGTTAAAGTGGCAAATTTCATAATATGTATATTTTACCACAATTTAAAAAAGTGAACAATGTAATATACCAAAACCATTATATGCTTTAAGTGGGTGCATTGCATGGTAAATGAATCCTATCCTAATAATGCTAGTATAAAATATAAGAACATTTAAATAATTTTAATTTTTATCGGTACAAAAATATTTTTGCTTACATTGCTGTATTAAAAGTATTTAATATTTTAATGGTAGCAGAGAGATTGAATTTCTTTTGTTACTTTTTAAACTTTATTTTGAAAACATTTCACACTTAACAGATAAGTTTTGAGAATTGTATGTTGAATCCACATGCTTATCACCTGTTTTCTCCTTGTGAGCATTTTCTCTTTATTCTCTGTGTTCAGAAATACGCACTGTGATATGCAGTGGTTTTTGTTTATTTTTGTCTTTTTAAAAAATTCATTGTGCTACTTCTTTTAATCCTTTGCAATCTGAAAATTTATGCCTCTTAAATCTTATGTACTGAGAAAGTCTTTAATTTCTGTGATAGATTTATTTATCCCATAGTTTGTGTTTTCTTTTCTGGAATCAGCTATTAAATGAATGTTGGATCTCCTAGATTTTCTCATTTTTTTTCTGTCCTTATTTTTCATCTCTGCATTTTTATTTATCAGTCTGGAATATTTTGTGATCTTTATCTTGCAATCCTGACCTTTATTTCCCCCCACTGGCAGGACCAACCAGGTAGCAATCCTGCCCCTTAAAAACAATTTATTATATTTTTAATGTGCAAGAGTTGTTCCTATTCTTTGATAGAGCTTTTAAATTAAAAATAGCAATTTATTTTTATTTAATGGATGAAGAATCTCATCTCCTGGTGGATACAATTTGTTGTTGATGCTGTTTTAGTTTCCTTCTGCTTCTTCTATTGTTTCTGTTACTTCTAAGTTCCTTTTTTTCTTTGTTTGTTTGGTTTCTGTCATTCATGCTGAAGATGGTCTTGAAATATCTGTGATTCTAGAATCTGCTCATGATTAAGAGGGGAGCACTGAAAAGCTGATGAAAAATTATTTGTGCGAAGGCCAGCTTGTCGCCTGAAGGACTTCATTGCAAGATGTTGGGGTGCCGAGCTAGCCACTTGGCTGCTAGCACTTTGGGCACTGAAGGGGAAAGAAGGCTGTAGGGCCCATTGTTTAGAATGTAGATTTTCAGCCTGTATTTTCCTCTCCTCTGTGCCTGTGTTTCCCTGTCGAAAACTTCAGTTTCCTCCAAGAAGAAACCTCCCTTCTCCAGCTGGGGTGAGGGAAGGATCAATTTCTGTCTGAGTACTTCATGGCGGGAGTGCTTATGAATCTGGGCCTCTTAACTGCCCCTTACACAGATTTTTTAACAGAGTCTTCGTGTTTTCAACCTTACCATTCTTCTTACCTCACAAGGTATCTGGTGAGTTTCATTCCTGAGCCCTGTGAATTCCCAGGTGGGCCTGCTTGCTATTGCTGGCTCCCCTCCTGGTAGTCACCCAGGTCTCCACTCACACTCCTCCTCTGCTGCCCCTTCTCCATCCCTTTCTGTCTTTCAGAAATATCTTAATAGGCCCATCAGCTGTTGTCTCTTCTCCCATCTCTTTGTCCTTAATAGATGCATATTCTTTTATGTTCATCAACTGCCTTTTTATTGGGTTTCGGGAAGGAATGGAGATAAGTGTTTGCTTTAATCTGTCATGTTTAACCAGAATTTTTCTTCTCCACTGCAAAAGTTCTCAGCTCCTTTTTAAGTGATATCAGAGCCAAACTTAGTCCACGCAAATTTTAAGGAGGGAAAGACTTCTGAACAGTTACTTAGCTCCACCAAGCCTGACATGTTTGGGTTTGCTGATGATGTTGGGTTAGCCATATTGTTATAGCTGCTTTTCTGACCTGTGTCAATCTGTCCTCTTGTAGAAGTGGGGCAGCGTGAGCAATCCACTCTTCCTCCCGCTGATCCCACCACAGTCTCAAGGGTTCACCGCCATAGTCCTCACCTACGACCGAGTAGAGAGCCTCTTCCGGGTCATCACTGAAGTGTCCAAGGTGCCCAGTCTATCCAAATTGCTCGTCGTCTGGAATAATCAGAATAAAAACCCTCCAGAAGGTAAGAAGAGTGAGGAAGTAGTATGTTCAGGAGAGGCCTGGTTTGGGCCTTAGTGCATCTCTCAGCTGGATTGATTTTGGATGGCCAAATTATTCACAGCCTTTGTTTTAAATAAGTGTTCCTGCTGTGTCAATAGCAATGCTATTTCTGAGACAGCTTGACTCCATTTTTCTCAGTCCTCTCATTCTTGTTCTAGGGTGGCCCATTGAACTCCAAGCCCTAGCATACTCTGTAGCCACAAGTGTTTAAGGGCTTAGGAATCAATAGGATCAAAGGCTATCAGCCTTGGGAAAACAGATCTCAGCTTTCCTCAGCCATCTCAGCTGATTTGTTTACATGAAAACTCAGTTTAAAAGGCATTAGTTTTTTTCTTATCTCTACTCTGATACTGTACTTTCCTTCAAAAAAAAAAAAAATGGATGGCCTTACTTCTGATTGGAAAAGTCAGCAGCAAAGCATACCCTGTCCAGACTTCAAGTCAGGTCCTTCAAGGGAGCAACCACTAGAAGCTCCCATTGGCTCTTCCTTAATCACTTTGTTCCTTGCCTTGGCCACCCCTGTAATCTGCTGGCTGGCAGCTAGGGTTGAGGACTATTTGATTAATTGGATTTGTTTTTAATTCGGGACGCACAGAGTATATTCCACCTGCATTTAGTTTCTCATTCAGTCTGTCTATTACTGATCCTAATCCCAGGGACTTCAAAGCTCCTGCCATTTATAGCCTATTAAAGCCAGGAAGTTTCTGATGGATTAGAGCAAGGAATGAGTTTGAAGTTAGTAATGTGCACCACTGTCACCGATAAGGTCTAGTTTATTGCCTGACAGTAGTATCTGCACTTTTTATGGCTAGTCTCTTTTAATTGGATATACTGAAGTCGGGAAAGTCAACCCTAGAAACTATCAGTAGTAGATCTATGGGCTGGAAGAAGACTGTATTTCTGGCTCTGTTAGGCAAATTGGAATTTGCCTCAAGAAAATTCTTTCATTTTTCCAGAGACATTGACAGATTTTACTTCGTGGGATGTTTGTTCTCTGAGAGAATCATATGCTTTCTTTTTACATTTAGGGAGCCACTGTTAAAACAGCTATTTTTTTTTTCTTTTTTTTTTTTGAGATGGAATCTCGCTGTGTCACCAGCCTGGAGTGCAGTGGTGACATGTCGGCTCACTGCAACCTCTGCCTCCCGGGTTCAAGTGATTCTCCGGCCTCAGCCTCCTGAGTAGCTGGGATTACAGGCGCGCACCACCATGCCCAGATAATTTTTGTATTTTTGGTAGAGATGGGGCTTCACCATGTTGGCCAGGATGGTCTCAATCTCTTGACCCTGTGATTCACCCACCTCAGCCTCCCAAAGTGCTGCAATTACAAGTGCGAGCCACCTGTACCTGGCCTAGCTATTTTAAATAAAGCTCGTATATTATTCCCTGATATTTAGAAATTAACTTTCTATGCCAAGATTTTTTTTCTCTCTCTCAACACTATAACATGGCCAGTTTTCTGGATTTTTGTTTTATTTGTTTGATACATAATAAGAGAGAAGGAAAGAGGTAAAAGAAAAAGGAAGATGTGGGCATCATTTAAGAAGGGAAGATAAGAATACAGAAAGGAAGGAAAAGATAGGGGAAATTATAAGAAACGATGTAGAGAGGGAAATTGTTGACTTGGATTTATTCATACCAATTGCCGTTCTCCAGAACGAAGTGAATTAGATGGTATTGCATTGCTAATATGTCCCTTCATTTATAAAGGATAGATCATGTTTGTAGAAGGCACTCTGGGGGCCTCTCATTGGGTCTGGCATGACCTATTGTGTCTTGCGGTAGTTACAGGCCTATATTTGCTCCTGCATCCAAAGGCCACCAGCTTTCAGAGAGACTCGCAGCTCACTCCTGCAGTTCTGCCTGAAAGGCAGAGTTGCACATTCTGATGCTAAATGCAAAAGAAGCTTCTCTTATAAACCCTGGTTAGCCACTTTAGGCATAAGGTGACTTATTTATTATGAATTTGAATCACTTCTTTTGGGAAGGTATCATTGCAAACTGTGAGAAAGGAGAAATTTCTTTTCCTTCTTGATCTAAGCCTCTACCCTGGCACAACTAAAGGCAGCAGCATGAGCCCAAGTTTCAGAGCTGGGTGTTCAGTTATAATTTTTGGTAAGACCCTGCTAAAATGTAGTGGTTAGTTTTATGACCAAGACTTTAGTTTATTTTTCAAAGATGTTGACTCTAGGGAGGAAAGAGAGCCCTTAACTGAGGAAGCCCTAATTTTGACACGTGTAGTGACTGGACTAGCTTTTTTCTAACAGTGGTTTTTAGGTCAGGGCTCTGGCTCTGGCGATGTGGTTGTTTGAGGAGAACATGAACCATGTTTAATCGTCTGCGGGGTGTTTGTTCAGTTGGTAAATGAGGCTGTCAGCTCTGGTCCGCATGCCAGCAAATGCATCTGATTTTTTACATACAGCATTAGTAATATATATATATATATATATATATATATATATATATATATAAAGCAAGTCCAAGGCTTTGAAATATTAGAGGCAAAAGTGATGTTTTTCACTTTCTCTACATTTACTAAAATAAATATTGTGGTTACCATGTCTGCTGCTGGGAGGATTTGTGTAGGCAGAAATCTACCCCCACTTTCCCACTTTTTTTTTGCTTTCTCCAACCCAACCAAATACATTTTTCTTTTGGTTACATTTAAGTCCAAATTTCTGGGTTTTAAGTTTAAGTAAATACTTAGACTAGGCAATAGACATTTCCAGTGAGCTTTCATCACATTGGTTTTGAGCTTTGTCAGAAGAGACTGCCTTCTCCCTCCCCAGTTTTTAATTTTCAAACTTGATGGATATAGAGGTTATTTGGCCTGGCCCTGGCCTTGGTCTGGAGGAGGTTGTTGCATTGTGCATTTCAGACAGGGGTAACTCAGCCTTCTGTTTTAAATGATGTCAGTTTTAAATTTTGAGTTACCATCAGGAGCCCCCCATATGCATATCACAGTCAGTAGCTTCAGATTGTGATATGCATAGTGCTTAGCAGGCAGGGCGGGGTTGGCTGAGCATATCAGCAACCCAGGATGGTCAACAAGGGAACACAAGCACCAGGTACCCTCCTTTTGAGCTGAGTTCTCAGACTATAGAGAATTGGTCATGAGACCAGCTGGACACCAGGAACTCAGGCAATTCTTTAGTGGGCTTTAGGTTTGTATGGAGATAATCTGGTGATTTATTTTGTGAATCTGTGGTTGTATTTATGCTAGTGATTGGCAGGATGGACTCGGGGTCATCTTCCGTCAACCTGACCATTTTGCAGTACTTTTGCCAAGTTAGAGAAAAATGTCTTTGCTCACATTTCTCTTGGCATCCAACATGGAGAAAACCGTTAATCAATATACTTGAAAAACGAAATCCTTAACACAAGGAGTTCTTTTTCTCCTTTGAGCTGGACTGAAGCTCATACTGTGAAGTTATCAGGTCACCTGGCTCAGCTGTTTGTTTTTCATAAATTTTGCAATGCGTTTGAAAAAATCATATTTTTCAGGCTACTTTGTATGAATGGAAGGTGACATTTCTATTTTGTCTGTTATAGGTTCACAGGATGAGACATAAGATACAAGGGTTTGTTGTTTCATTTAGCATTTAAAAGAATAAGGAAAAAGGACCCAGTTAGGCTAAGCAGTAGAATTTGGGCCTGAAGGTTTCTAGCTATGACACAGTTTCTGTCTGCATTCTAGAAATCGTCCCCATATCCTTCTGTCTAGACCTCTTCCTGTTATCAGTAGAGAAGTGAAGTTCATAGTACTTCACAAGAATCCACTTGTAGGCCCGGCGCGGTGGCTCAAGCCTGTAATCCCAGCACTTTGGGAGGCCGAGGCGGGTGGATCACGCCGTCGAGAGATCGAGACCATCCTGGTCAACATGGTGAAACCCCGTCTCTACTAAAAATACAAAAAATTAGCTGGGCATGGTGGCACTTGCCTGTAATCCCAGCTACTCAGGAGGCTGAGGCAGGAGAATTGCCTGAACCCAGGAGGCGGAGGTTGCGGTGAGCCGAGATCGCGCCATTGCACTCCAGCCCGGGCAACAAGAGCGAAACTCCGTCTCAAAAAAAAAAAGAATCCACTTGTGAAGATGATCATAATATGACCATATTGTATACCTTTTTAATCCAGGAATAGGAACTGTGCTACATGCTTATTATCTCTATCTTAGGACAAGCCTGCAAAGAAGCTATTACTATCCCCATTTTGCAAAAATAAGAAAAATAAAACTCAGATGAGCAGTTTGTCAGAAATCAACACTGATCTTTCTAGATCCGAAGCTCACGCCCTTTGCACTAAGCCCCTCCATGTCTATTTAGATTACCATTTAGTTGCAGGAAAATCATCATATGTTGTCAGTTCTTTGATTTGGGATCATGTAGAAGAACTAGATTCTTGTCAGGGTCTCAGAGAGGCAGAAAAGTAAATCTGTTTTTTTTTTTTTTTTTTTTTTTTTTTTAAAGACTGATGGGAAGGAAAAACACCTCTTTTCTTTTCACGTAGATTTTTCTTTCCTACCTCATGTTCCCTTCTCCTTCTACTCCTTCATTCCTAGTTTTTTTTTAAAGGTTACCTTTTCAGAATCAAAATTCCATATCAGTATTACCTGTCTGCTTTAAGGGCAGGATATAATTTTAATGCTTATTCTTTGGTTGCTGCCCTCTCATTTCTGGCCTCCACAAAAGGGATACTGTCAGAAGCCTGAGAGAATGGTACTTGTCTTTCATGGAGGCTGTTTAACTTGACAAATGGAAAACATGAAACTGGGAATTCTATTTAGAGTCCTGTCAGGTGCTATTGATAGTCTGTAGATAGCTGATCACTGAAATGGAGATGCTTTTTGCCAAAGCCGACTTTTGGCTACCCAAACCTAACTTGCAACTGGGAAAAGTAACCATACATTTTAAAAAGCCAGAATTCACTCTACATTTCTACCTGCACCCCGCTCTCTAAAACTTCCCCATCGAAGACTTTACAGGGGCAAGTTAGTTCTTTGTGGATATTGTCTCAAGTAATTCTTTGGACGTATATAGGTGAACAGTGTGGAAAGCTGTCTGCGGGTTGAATATGCTATATACATTCCCCAATTGTAAGTCCAGACTCCATCCAGTGTAGAGGCATGTTTATACTTAAAGTAGCTAGCTTAGTTTTTCTACATAGTGGGAAGAGGAGCTGTTTGTTGCCTTGTGGAATTAACATGACCAAAATTCCATGTTCTTTTGTTTTATTAGTGTGTGAGAGTTTAAAGGATTCATGGCAGGGATTTTGCTTCTCTAAAAGTGGACATGGAAGGCCTGAGCCAGGGCTATACCACTGGGTTGTCTGGGTGATGTACCGGATCTCAAATGTACCACTTTGCCACTGCTACCTAGGGTTCAACAAGATTCCCTGGTTCTGTAGGTAGACACAGACTTTCCAGAGGAAGCACGGCTAACTTTTAGTGACTGCCTACAGTATACTGGGCACTGTGTTGCTAAATGCATGCCCATTCATCCTCACATTCAATCATATCAAGATGGTCTCATGATTCCTTCTTCATAGTTGAAGAAGGAGTGTTTAACTTGTTCAAGGTCACATGACAAGTAAGTGGTAGACCTGATACCTGAAGCTGTTTCCAAAGACTGTTTTCTTTCTGTGATGTTTAGCTGCCTCATGGAATCCTAAGGCCACAGAGGTATCGTGTTTAGTTTCCACCTGATGTCAAGTAGAAATCTGACCTAAGTTAGTGCATTTTAAGTAAAAGGGCACATTGTGCTGCTGAAGGCAATACATCTTAAAATAGTTTATACCATCAGGAAGTTTTTACATATTTTGAGTCTAAATCAGTTTCCCTGTAACTTCCACCCTTCCATTTGTCATGCTTCTAACTCTAAAGGCCATAGAGAACAATTCCCTTTTCATTCGATAAGCTTTCTGATATCCCAAGAATATTAGTCAAGGTTCATTTAGGTGACAGAAACCACATGATAATTTGAACAGGAAAAATTTAATACAAATTATTAACTAGTAACAGGATTTGCCTACTAAAGGGTAAAGAGAACTCTGAAGATTACAGGAAATAAACTTGGAAGAGCCCCTTCCCCAGCTAGAGCTGAGATTCACACCTTGCTGGGGAGAGTGGGGCTGTCACCCACTGGGTTAGGAAAGTTTACTGAGATGCCACAGGCTGAAGGTGACAAGCAGGAAACCCGGTCAGGCCCTTGTATACACACAGAGTTCAACAGGAAGCTGCCCCAGGAGTGTTATTGAACTTGCTGGGAAACTGGCTAGGGCTTTGGTAGAGCTCACCTGGAACTACCCACAGGGAGAATTTTGGCTGAGTTGCTGGTGGGGCATCCACAGAACTTTCTGGGAAGCTGCCTGCAGGGGTGCTGTTAAATTCACTGGGAAGCAGGTTGGGGTATGCTAGAACCTGCTGGCAAGTGGCCCCAGGGAAGAGGTGCTACCTACACTTTCTGGAGACAAGTGCCCCTGCCTGCCTGCCTGCTGGCCAGGCACTACTGGAGCAAGAAGTAAGACAGGCATACCAGACCCAGGAAGAAAGCCATACCCACGCGCTGCACTGGCCCCTCAGTGCCCTGTACTGACCCAGGTAACACCATGCCAGCTGGCAAAGGAGAGGTGTTCACTGGGTCCAGTTCAGCTATCACTAACAGGGCAATGAAGACCACAGTTGAAACTGAGAGGCAATAAAGTGCTAAGTGGCACGCTTAATTTCTGTAGGCATTCTGTACAAAGCCTGGATACAGATGCCTGCACTGTCCTTGTGATTTCTTCCCAACTGTTTTCTTTGCCTGTTGGTACTTCTCGTAATGTTTTGGTACCCAAATATGAAAAAAATCTAACTCAGCAGATTTCAGAGTGTGATCTGGGCACCCTGGGTCTCCCCGAGATCCTTTCAGGAGATCCAGGACATGGAAATTATTTTCATAATCACACTAAGTGATTACTTCTCTTTCCCACTTCTCTTATTCTCTCACAAATGTACAGATTCTCCATAATCTGCATATCATGAGTGACATCATTTCCCAAAGCTAATGGAATGTGTACTTATATATTTTCTTAAGAGCATAAAGGGATTCTGAGATCAAAAGTTTTGGGAACCACTGGTCTGGTAGGTAGGGCTATAACCTCCTTCGTTTTAGATGTTACAGTGCAGGAGTCCCTAACCCCTGGGCCAGGAACCTGTAGCCATCTGTGGCCTCTTAGGAACGGAGCTGCATAGCAGGAGGTGAGCGGCTGGAATGTGAGCATTAAGGCCTGAACTCCTCCTCCTGTCAGATCAGTGGCAGCATTAGATTCTCACTGGGGTGTGAACCCTATGGTGAACTGCTCAGGCAAGGGATCTAGGTAGTGCACCCCTTATGAGAATCTAATGCTGGATGATCTGAGGTGGAGTAGTTTCATCCTAAAATATCCCTACCCGGGCCCCGCCCCGCATTCATGGAAACATTTTCTTCCACGAAACTGGTCCATGGTGCCAAAAAGGTTGAGGACCACTGTTGTAATGTGTTCGTGTTTTATAAGGATTTGGGAATGGTAGATGTATGACAGAGATTTTACTTATGTGAAATAGGGATCAAGCAAGAATAAGGGTGATTGCTGGAGAAAGTGGTAAAATCTTACTAATTTTGTTCCAGATCCAGAGAAACATGGGATTCTGCAGCTGCAGCTCCTTTTTGGTCTTTTAATGCTAAACAGACTTAGGTTCAAATACTAGCCTTATCATTTATTTTTTGTGTATCTCTGGGTGAGTTAATGAACCTCTCTGAGCCATGAAAATACTACTTTGTAATAATTCCTGCCTCATAAAGTTGTCAGGAGAATTGGATGACATTGTATGTATAAAGCATCTGGCATGTATTAGTTGATTTAAAAAGTTCGACTTCTTCCTTTCTCTCTGCTTATTCTTATCCGGAAAAGAATGGACTTGCTTGAGGTCCAGTAGATAATGCCGAACTCAGGCCTCCAGTCTTTCAGGCATGTGTTCGTGCATTATTCCAAAGATATTTATCGATTATGTGCCAAGAATGAAACTGTAATTAACTATTGATATTGATGAAAAGACAATGGCCCATAGGGTTATTTCTTTGGTCACCGATTCAGTCCTTTCCCAAACACACTTTTTGGAGTTGACCACTCTCTCTGAGGCTCTGTGCCACAGGCTTATTTTAAGACTATGAATACCTTCCTTGACTACAGGGCTTCCCACTTGCACAGGCCTCTTCCAAGACCCTGGGAGTGCCCCAACAATGTCTTCTACAACCAGCTATACTACAACATGTGCAGAAGTAAAACATTTTATCTGCAGTCAGTCGAGACAGTAGCCTTTTCCCCTACTGACTTTCCCTCTATCTTCCTCCTCTTCAGTATAGTGACTTTGGAGTGGCCATGAGTGCTTTGGGACTTCAAGACCCACAAAAATGAGATTTTTCTATAATTACATGATGGACTTTTTGAAAGCAGTATGATACCTAGCTTTCCTGTTCTCGTTTGACAAATGTGTGAAGAACAAACTGCCCTCTGAGGTGTATGGACATGGGTACTGTTCCAAAGAAGTATGAATTTCATGCTATGCCAAATGCAACATTTTAAAACAAAGAACCTGTGGTCAAATTACTCCAGTCATTTCATAAAGTAGAATGGGAAAAAAAATGTAAGACAAGTTGTGGGTTGGCGTTTCTTCAGTATACTAGAAAATCCCACATAATTGGACCTAGAAATGTGATAATTACTTTGTAAACTGGTCATGATGAGAAGCTAAACCTAGTGGGTTGGGAAGAAGGGATACAGAGCTGAGTTCAGGAAGCTACACTCATTCAGTGAAACATACTCTGATGAGGGGTGGATTTTAGCAGCACTGAAAGCTGTTTGATTGCATGATGGAGGTGGGCACATCGGGGTGGACATCTTCAGCAAAGACACTGTCTGTCCTAGCACAGCTGCAAGCAAGTTCTCAGCTAGGATATACTTACCTGAAAGTATTTTGCAGAGTATTTACCAGAGGGGGGTAGAGTTCTGATACTAAAGCCTTGATTCTGAGAATGAAGTAATCACATATATTATGTGTGTGTATATATGTTGTATCTATAAGTGTGTATGTGTGCTATATATATTTTTTATTATAATAAAGATGGATCTGTTGGAAATCTCCCCTTGCACAGTTGTACTTTTGGATTTGGTGAAAGCCATGTCTACAAGTTGCTTCTTTCATCTCACTTGTGATGTCATGCTTTTACTACTTTTTCTCCTTTCAAGAGTTAGGAGAATGGTAAATACCTTTTCTCTTTTTCCAGATTCTCTCTGGCCCAAAATCCGGGTTCCATTAAAAGTGGTGAGGACTGCTGAAAACAAGTTAAGTAACCGTTTCTTCCCTTATGATGAAATCGAGACGGAAGCTGTTCTGGCCATTGATGATGATATCATTATGCTGACCTCTGACGAGCTGCAATTTGGTTATGAGGTAAGGAGGTTTTACACAGTGCATTTATATGCTTAATATTACTTTCTATGATTGCTTGTCTTTCCTAAAAAAGAGTATTATCTTTCCTTCTTAAAAGTTAGAATTTCCAAAATCTTCTGAGAGTCCGAAAGGTGTGAGTTTTGAAGCTGTTCTTTAAAGTGCTGGAGAAACCCTATTCCAAAATGACAACTGTGCCCTCCACTGGTTTTGGGAACTCCCAAGGAGAGTCCCAGGGGACAATTTCAAAAGAGCATCTATAGCATTTAAGAAGCACTTAATTGATGTCTCCTTGAATAGCACTTCCCTTGACTCAAGCAGCTGGGCACCACAACAATAAAAACATCAATAAGTGAAGAAGCTGGCGACACTGACAAACAAAGCAGACCCTGTTGATGGCTTTCTTCTGAGTTTTAAGTGGAGAGGCTGGCTGCCTGTCTTTAGGGAGAAACATTCCCTATCACCGTTTATTCAATGAGGCTGATGGATTAGGCTGGGTTCAAGGGTTAAGTATGGAGACCAGTAAAGGTCTCCCCAGGGGAAAGTGCCAGAGTCCAGGCCTGGTGAAAAACAATAGGAATTGATGGGCCCTGTCAGGGTGTACGTGAGATGCATGATGACGACAGGCAAAGACCTGCGGCTGCCGGTAGAGGTGGTATCAGACCTAAACACGCAGAGCGTTCAAGTCATTTAGCTCTAGCTGGCTCAGGGGAAAGGGGAGAGAGGTAACCATTTTCTTTAGTTAACTTAGGATTTGTTGAATTGGGGGTTCTTAAATCCTAATTTTTTTTTTAAATGAAGCTATATTTAGTACATGTATTTATTATAGAAATTTATTTTTAAACACTTAAATTGAAGGTGGATTTTAAGGGAAAGGAAAATGAATGTGCTCCCTCCGACACTATCACCACCACCAAAAATTAAAAGCTCAGTTTTCCCCAAGTTTTAAAAAAATGTAGCTTCATTTGAGTGTAAAAGAAATTGTTATGAAATAGATTGATGTGTGATGCCCTGCGTGATATAGTTATTGGCCAATGAAAGGCCTGAGAGTAGCTAATAAAACACACATTCATCTTTTTGGATTTATTTTTATTCATAGGAGATGACTTTTACAGCATAGTGTCTAGGGTGTTGGATGATATTTAGTATACTGTTATTTCCATTTTTAAAACAAATTGCCTACTTGTTTTTCTAGCCAAGTCATGGCAAGGAGACTAATTTTTTTTTTGCCCGTGATTTCTCTCTTCATTGCATATAATGGCTTCAAACTCTACCCATGTGTTTATTTTTGTGCTAAAAGTGAGGTGGAAAAAAGGAGTGTTCCAAATGACATGGCCAAGATGGACAGAGTGCTGTCTCTTTAGTATTTTCTGTTGGTCTAAAGGAAGACTACTAAAGGAAGGGTGGGCTGAATGTTTTCCTAGGATTTCTTTCAACCCCGAGTTTGTTTTAAGCAACTTAGAGTATGTTAATGAAAGCAAGTTTTGCAGAACTTAAAGCGACTGATCTTGCATCTTTACCTCTTTCCTCTGATTACTTGTGTTTGATTCCATATTATCTCTAAAGAAGTAATTATTAGAAGAGTGAAATCAGGAAGCAGTCTTATCTCCATTAGTATCTCCAGATGCTATGGAAGGAACAGCTTTGATTACTACCTTTTGTACAACTGACTATGTTCCTATCAACATCCTGAGTGTTTCCATACATTAGTTATGATCTTACCCCAGGCCTGCAAAGCAGGTAGGTTTTTCTCATTCTGTACTGAGACTAAGTAAGGTTAGATAACCTGCCTATAGTCACACAGCTAGTCAGTGGAAGAATTAGGATTAAAAATCCAAGTTTTTTTTGACAACGTGCTGTCTTCCCTGAGGATTTTATTGTGAGTTACATTTGCCAGAGATCAGTGATCCTCAGAAGTAGTACTTACAGTCATCAGCATATCATTTGCCTGTCACAAAATTATTTTGACTCTAAGAAAAACAAATACATTTTTTAGGAACTCCTACTATTGGTGCTTTAGGGCCTCTGTGCCCAAGTTCCTGCTCTATCAGTTTCTGATGATGGACAGTTTCTGATGATGGACAGGTTATTTAATCTCTCTGGATCATAGTTCATTCTTATATAAAATGGTAATGACTATATCGACTTCATGAGGTTATCATGTGCATTGGGTGAAATTACATAGTGCCTCCCACATGGAAAGTGGGATTCCCCAATCTAGGTTGGGTCCAGCACACTCTGTACCTCTTTGTGAGCAAATAATGGTGAACTGTGTTGTTTAGTGTCCTTTTTTCCTTTTAGAATGTAAGCACCAAAGAGCAGTAAGTACATTTCCTGTGTGATGGACAGTGGATTGTGCTCTTTACAGATGCCATGTTAACTGCTGCTGCTATCATCATGACTACCACTGCTATTTTTCTTATTCCATTCAGGATTCTTTTTTTTTTTTTTTCTTTTTTTTTTTTTCCATTCAGGATTCTATTATGATTCATGAAAGAGACTGTTTTCATTATTCAGAAGGGACATTTCTATCTTGAAGAAGGAACTCAGTTAGTGTTGAATCAAAAGACAAAAGACCATGATGCTCCTGAATCCTGCTTTTTATGCTGAAGCCTAGGGTTGATTTTCATGCAGGAATTGGGAGCAGGCTTGACCAATTAAGGGAATAAATAAGTAAATATTTGCATCTTAGGGGAGCTATATGGGAATCCAGAACTACTATTTCATGGTGTTATCACAGTCACTCGCAATTATATCCGTCTTGTTAATCTCTACCCATCCTTCAACACTGAGCTCAGCTGATACTATTTCAAAGAAGCTTTCAGAGTCCCCAGTCTCGTTGGGTTCAGAGTACTCGGTACCTCTCTGTGAGCCATAATTGTGAGCTATGTTGTTACAATATCTTTTTTCCTTCTAGAATGTAAGCAGCAAAGGGCAGGAACCATGGCTATCTTATTCATTGCTATACCCTCTGTTCCTAACCCAGTTCATTTCATTCAGTAGTTAATTCAGTAACATTCAATGAATAGACAAATCTCCCTTGCCAACACACATGTGAAAAGATATAAAAAAGATTATTCTGGCCTGTATGCTCTTCCACTTTACTGTGATCCATAATCTGTTACATCCATTCTGGCAAACAGTTTGGAGTTTAAAATGTTAAACATATAGCTACCATATGACCAGCCATTCTTCCCATGGGGATTTACCTTAGAGAAATGAGAACATGTATCTGCACAAATACTTGTAGACTAATATCCAAAGCAGCTTTTATTTGTAATAGGCAAAACTAGAGAACATAAAACAATGTCTGTCAACAGTTGACTGGATAAACATTGTGAAACATCCATAGAGTAGAGTATGGCTCAGTAATAGGTAAGAAGTAACTATTGATAAATGCAATAGCATGGACATTTTTCAAAGTAATTATGCTGAGCTAATGAAGCAAGATGAAAAAGAGAACATACTTTATGATTTTATATATATATATATATATATATATATATATATATATGTAAAATTCTAGAAAGTACCAACTAATATTAGATCAGTGGTTGTCTGGAAGGTAAGTGGGGAGGGTCAGGCTATAAAGGGCAGGAGGGATGAACAGAGGGGTACAAAAAAACTTTTAGGGGAAATGGATATGTTCATTATTGTAATTGGGGTAATAGTGTATACAGATGCCAAAACATGGCAAATTGTACACTTTAAGTGATTTATTGTATATCAACTATATTTCCAAAAAGCTACAAGAAAAGTCATTTATACTGTAGCAGTAGCATAAAAACTGAAATATTTGAAAAATTCAACAAAATATGTGCCAGATATGTTTAGTGAAACCTAAAAAATGTTGCTGAGAGAAACTGAAGAACAACTTCATAAATGGAAAGATATACCATGCTTGTGAATCCAAAGACTCACTATTGTTACCATACAAATTCTCCCCAAATTGTATAGATTCAAAACAATCCAATCAAAATCCCAGAAGCCTTTTTGTTGAAATTGACAAGCTAAAATGGAAAGGGAAACACATCAGACCTGAAAAAGCCAAAGCAATTTTTTAAAAAAGAGCTAAGTTACAGGACTTATACTCCTATTTTCAAACTTACCATAAAGCTACAGTAATCAAGACACAGTGGTATTGGTGTACATTTAGATATACAGGACAATGAAACAGAATAAAGAGTTTGGAAATGGGCCACACATGTATGGCCTTGCACACTTGGTGGCAATGTAAATTGATACAACCATTTTGGAAAACAGCGTGGAAGTTCCTCAAAAAACGAAACATAGAAATGCCATATGATCCAGCAACCCCTCTTCTGATTATATATCCAAAGGAATTAAAATCAGTAGGTTGAAGAGATATCTGCTTTCTCCTATTCATTGCAGCATTGTTCACAATAGTCAAGATATGGAATCAACCCAAGTATCCATAAACAGATGAGCAGATAAAATGTGATGCTTATACACAATGGAATACCATTTATCTTGAAAAAAGAATGAAATTTTGTCATTTGTGACAACATGGGTGAATCTAGAGGGCATTTTGCTATCTAGAGGGCAGATACAGAAAGACAAATACTGTATTATCTCACTAAACGTAGAATCTAAAAGTCTGACTTCATAGAAGTAGGGAGTAGAATGGTGGTTACCAGAGGTTGGGAAGGAAGGCAGGGAAAGGGGAAATATTGGTCAAAAGGTACAAAGTTTCAGTTAGACAAGAGGAAATAGTTCTGATGATCTATTCACAGTAAGGTGACTACAGTTAATAATAATATGTATTATATTTCAGTATTGCTGAAAGAGTAGATTTTAAATGTTCTCACCACAAAGCAGTAAGGTGATGGATATGCTAATTAGTCAGATTTGCTCTTCTACAATGTATATGTGTGTGAAAGTATCACATTGCACCCCATAAACATATACAATTATTACTTGTCAATAAAAATAACATTTCTTAAAAAGCTGAAAGAGAATAGGATTAAACAGAGGGGGAAAAG